GGGCTCTGGCTGGACGGTCTCGGGCTCTGGCTGGACGGTCTCTGGCGCTGGCTGGACGGTCTCTGGCGCTGGCTGGACGGTCTCCTGGCGCTGGCTGGACGGTCTCTGGCGCTGGCTGGACGGTCCTCTGGCGCTGGCTGGACGGTCACTGGGGCAGGCTGGACGGTCTCTGGCGCTGGCTGGACGGTCTCTGGCGCTGGCTGGACGGTCTCTGGCGCTGGCTGGTCGGTCTCTGGCGCTGGCTGGACGGTCACTGGCGCTGGCTGGACGGTCACTGGGGCAGGCTGGACGGTCACTGGCGCTGGCTGGACGGTCTCTGGCGCTGGCTGGACGGTCTCTGGAGAGCTGAACGGAACCAGCAGTGAAGAGCATACAGTCTCTGGAGGCTGGACGGAACAGCAGAGAAGAGCATACAGTCTCTGGAGGGCTGGACGGAACCAGCAGTGAAGAGCATACAGTCTCTGGAGAGCTGGACGGAACCAGCAGTGAAGAGCATACAGTCTCTGGAGGGCTGGACGGAACCAGCAGTGAAGAGCATACAGTCTCTGGAGAGCTGGACGGAACCAGCAGTGAAGAGCATACAGTCTCTGGAGAGCTGGACGGAACCAGCAGTGAAGAGCATACAGTCTCTGGAGAGCTGGACGGAACCAGCGGTGAAGAAGCATTCAGACTCTGGAGAGCTGGACGGAACCAGCGGTGAAGAGCATTCAGACTCTGGAGAGCTGGACGGAACCAGCGGTGAAGAGCATTCAGTCTCTGGAGAGCATTCGAGTGATGGAGTGGGGCTGGTGACGTCATACATGGTAAAGGGAGATCCACATGACACCAGCACCCACTCCACATAGGCCGCAAAGTCCCCTCGAGGCCCGTCTCCGGGCAGGCGTGCCTGGGTTTCAGCATTTAGGCCTGCCCGGAAGAACACACAGAGGCTGGTAACATCATAGTGAACATGCGGTACCAAATCCAAATACCTCTGTGTGTGGGCCTCGAGGGATTGATCCTCCTGCTCCAGGAGGAGAAGCTGTACAGCGGCTAAATCCATATTTTCCCTTTTTTGGGGTCGGTCAATCTGTCACGGTGCGGGTGCAGGCAGAAGAGGACAAGGAGTCAGGATGACAATACAACAATATTTAATCTAAATTCAGGACGGAAGACAGGTTACAGGACCACGCAGGGTAACATTCAACATTGACCGACAAACACAGGCTGACAGAGGGAGAACTAAATACAAGCAAGAATCAAACATAATGAGGTGAAGACAGGTGAAACAGATGAACAGGACGCTGAACGGGAGGCTGATGAGGGAGTGAGTTCAGGTGTGCAGACGAAAGGATTCTGGGAAGTGTAGTGCAGATGACGCAGACAGGATGGTGCAGACGAAGACTGTGACACCTGCCTTGGAAGCCTCTTTTCAGTTTAATGTTATTTGTTCTGTTGCTTTAAGTTCAGTTTTGTTTCTATTTTTGTTTAAACAGTTCATGTTCGAAGTTCATGGTTATAAGACAAGCAACCAATTTTTTATGATGCACAGTAAAAAGCTTAAAATAATGTCATTGAATGTCAATGGGTTAGGCAACCCAGTAAAGCGGGCAAAGGTGATGAATAAGATAAGGAAAGACGATATGCACATCATCTTATTACAGGAAACACATTTAGGAGCTTTGGAACATGAAAAACTTATTAAATTTGGCTACAACATATTTTATAGCTCACATTCACAAAGTCATAGGAGGGGAGATGCAATACTTGTTACTAAAAAAATAAAGCTTGACATTTTCAAAGAAATAAAGGATAAGGAGGGTCGATATATTCTAGTGAAGGGTAAAATCAATAATAATCTTATGACATTGGTTAACATCTACGCACCACCTGATTGCGAAACAACATTTTATAAAGATTTTTTTGATACACTCACAGCAGAAGCGGAAGGGATCTGTGTATGTGGAGGGGATTGGAATGCTGTTTTAAATTCGAAACTAGATTCCACAAGCAAAAATAGGAGTAAAAGAAATCTTACAAAATTACTTAATATTATGTTAGAGGAAACTGGCTTGGTAGATGTGTGGAGGAAGCTCCACCCAACTATGAGAGACTATACACATTACTCAGTACCTCACTTGGTTCATTCAAGAATAGACTATTTTATAATGAGACAGGAAGATTTCTACAGGGTAACCGAATGTAAGATCGGAGTCACTGATGTTTCAGACCACAGCGCAATATATTTAACTCAACTTGGAGAATAACCCCAAAAATACTGTATGGCGATTAAATGTTGGCCTCCTTAACAACCAATCAGTAGTTGGATCTATCAAACAGGACATCAAAACTTTTATAGAAGAGAATGACAATGGGGAAGTGGATCCATCAATAGTTTGGGACGCGCTAAAAGCTGTCTTACGAGGAAAACTAATACCCAAAGCAACAAACATTAAGAAAACTAGGATTGAAGCATATAAAAGATTAATTAAAGATTTAAAAGATAAAGAGGAAAAATTCATTTTGAAAAAAGATCAAGACACTCAAAAAGAAATAAAAAATTGAAACTGCAACTTGAAAATTATTTAGATGACGAAGTAGAGAAAAAATCTAGATTTACAAAACAAGCATATTATGAACTAGGCCCAAAATCAACAAAGTTTCTCGCTAGAAAATTACGCAAACAACAGGTGGACTCAACAATTTTGAAAATTAAAGACCCTACCTCGCAAAAGCTTCAAACTGAGCCAAAAGAAATAGAAAACACTTTTTATCAGTACTACAGCAAATTATATTCACAAGAGGGCGCTTCTAACAAAGAGTTGATCAGAGCATTCTTAGACAAATTAGACCTTCCCTGTATAGGAGAAATACAAAATAAAAGAATATTAGCAGAAATTACATCAAAAGAACTGGATAAAGCAATAAATAGATTAAAGGCAAATAAAGCCCCAGGTAGTGATGGTTTCCCTGGCGAGACCCCTCCCTCATGGAAGGAAGCAATTATTACCCTGATCCCCAAAGAAAATAAAGATAGAGATAATTGTGCCAATTATAGGCCAATATCAATTTTAAATGTGGACTATAAGCTATATACATCCATTATTTCTAAACGATTTGAAACCTTTATTTCTGATATAATTGATGAAGACCAGACTGGCTTTATAATTGGTAGGCAAACTCAAGATAATATCAGAAGGAGTCTGCAAGTGATTCACAATATTTCCAGCAATAAGCTTAAAGCGGCCTTGATCAGCCTCGATGCAGAAAAGGCCTTCGATCGAGTAAATTGGGATTTCTTATATTTAACGTTGGAGAAATTTGGCCTTACTAATGATTCTATTCAATGTATTAGAGCAATTTATGATAAGCCAACCGCAAGAATTAAAGTGAATGGATCCCTGACAGACCGGTTTGAACTCAGTAGAGGTTGTAGACAGGGCTGCGGATTAAGTCCCTCCCTTTTTGCTTTATACATTGAACCACTGGCTCAAGCAATTCGGGAGAAAGATGATTTAAAGGGGATTGATATATTGTTATTTCTAGAAGATATTAACATATCACTTCCCATACTGATGGATCTTTTGGGAAAGTATAATGAATATGCTGGATACAAGTTGAACATTTCCAAAACCCAAATGCTACTGTTTAATCATTCACCCTCTAATGAAACTGCACGCACATATGATGATAAAATGGAGCTCCAACAAAATTAAATACCTTGGAGTGTTTCTATCTAATGATTCTTCACTATTATATAACTTTAATTATAATCCTATAAACGAAAGTATTAGAATAGACATTCAGAGATGGTCTACTTACCCACTTGATTTAAGTGATAGAATAAAAGTGGTAAAAATGAACATCCTCCCTAGGCTACTCTACTTATTTCAATCCCTTCCGGTAAATATACCGTCAAAACAATTCACAGAGTGGGATAAGCTGTTATCGAAGTTCATATGGGATGGGAAGAGGCCTAGAGTTAGGTACTCAACATTACAGCTGCAAAAGGATAATGGGGGCATGGCCCTTCCTAATTTAAAATTATATTTCTATGCAGCTCAATTGCGTTACCTGTGTTGCTGGTGTGACCCTAGTTACTGTGCCAAATGGAAAGAGATTGAGACATGCATCCCTGGGTACAATGTTCAGACACTCATGGGAGAGGACCATATCCCAACCGATATAACTGAATTACTTGACCCAATTGCACAATTCACAATGGAAATTTGGTATAGTGTAGCAAGACAATTAAAACTGAAGAAAGAAAGAAAAATATTAAGATGGGTAGCGCATGACAAAGACTTCAAACCAGGAATGGGTGACTCAAATTTCAAATTTTGGATCAATAGAGGGGTTACAGCTTTTTGTAATTTAATTAATAATGGAGAAATAAGAAGTTTTCAATATCTGAAAGACAAATTTAGTTTAGATAATCGAGACTTCTTCCGATACTTACAACTACACTGTAAAAAGAAAAGGTGCCTGGAGGAACCTTTTGGGGTTCTTCACTTTTCCACGCCGGCGGAACCGTCTGTAGATCCTCTAGGAACCCTTTAAAAAAGGGACAGTTCTCTGAGGAACCACCCAGGTTTCCTGAGGAACTCTTATATTAGGCACTGCATGGAGCCGCTTTGGGTGCCTCCAGGAACCAATTTTTATTTATTTATTTATTTATTATTATTATTTCATGTTGTTACTATGGTTAGCACTAACTTCTATTATTATAAACAAACTGAACCAAATACAAGGTAAGAATTGTTTATTAAATTTTAGATCCATTTTAATACATACACTTCCATGCACTAGGGAAAAGAAGCTAGTAATAGATTAATATCAATGAATAGAATACACAAACAAATAGTATAATACATACTGTAAGCAACATGAATAATCAACAATGTACAGGGTATACAAGAAAAGACATCTCAACAAAATGCATGGAAACACGTCACATTAATAAAAAAAAACAAAAAAACAATTAAATTAAGTTGTGTCAATGGACTTTTTTTGCCTGTGTAATTTCACAAATTTGACCGCACCTTTACTTGCTGAAACATAAAATGCAATCATTAATAAAATCTTAACAAGGGACATGTGAGGTTAACGAGTTAGAACAGTACAATTTTCCGTTTGTTTTTCCTCTTTACTGGTGGATGGTCCAGGCACTTCAATGATTTTCAGGTCTACAGGAGGATTATTTTTCTTGTTCAAACTTGTATTTCAGCTTACCGAGGTGCCTGCAAAGAACCAAAATTACTGTCAGCAGTGTTATTAAAGTGATAGTTGTGAACTGAAAATAATTTCCTTGTGACATTCCGAACCTGTTTGACTTTCTGTCTGTGGAACCCAAAAGCAGATCTCAGGCGTAATGCAACCCCAGTCATCATTCAGTTACACTGCCGGAGAGAAGCAGAACAAAACTGTGTAAATCATTCATGAAACCATTCTTATGTACACTTGTTTAGTTCAATTCAATGCAACAATGTATGTAAAAATGGTTAAATATTGTGTTAATCTCCAAAAATGTCACAGAAAAGATCATAAAAATATGAAAAATTAAATTGAAAAATTGGTCCACAGCTCATGTGTTATGAGTTGTGTTGCAAGTCTTCTGAAGCCATATAATAGCCTTTGTTTTTTGTCTAAAAAGACTACACTTTAAGTTCGATTTTTTTTATATTCAAATGCAAATGATTAAAGGGGAAATGAAGCAGTGAATCAAGTTTACATGATTTACAAGATGGATTTCCAATATAATCAACAATTATATAAGAAACATTACAAATGAAAAAGGAAAAAGGAAAAAAACTTTGTATCTTTCGCCGCCAGGGCGCCGCCATTGTGCAGTTGACGTCACAGGGTTGGTTGGCTCAAGTTTAACAGGCTCTGGGCATTGAAAATCGCGACATCAAACTGTGTTTACACCAGTGTTTTGACCGCGAACGACTAATGTTAGGTACAGTCATTAGACAAAAAGATGACTTTTCATGTTATATGTTGACAAACTGCACATAGAAACATTGTTCGCGATGTTTGCCGTCAGATATTCCCGTCTCGTCAACATGTAAGTTAGCATGTAACGTTATTTGTTAAAGGGGAAATGAAACGTCCATATTTTCGCAGTGGTAGTGCTAGTAGCTACAGCCTACATACTAGGAAAAAGTGTCTCCGCTCTGACATCCTTCAGGGAAAGCATCGCCGCTTCCACACGTCTAACTCCCGGCACGGCATGGTAAACGTGCACGCCGGTGATGCAGAATTGACCACGCAACACATGCTCAAGATCAACCTCTAGACAACAGATGGACTAACGCTACAACAGCCACACTGACACCTGGTAAGTTAGCGTTGCAAACCCGCTCTTTGCCCCAAACCACCACCGGCTGTTCTACATAGCAACGTAACTTAACGTTACATGGTGTTGACGAGACGGGAATATGACGGCAGACATCGCGAACAATGTTTCTTTGTGCAGTTTGTCAACATATAACATTAGACGTCGTCTTTTTGTCTAATGACTGTACCTAACATTAGTCGTTCGCGGTCAAAACACTGGTGTAAACACAGTTTGATGTCGTGATTTTCAATGCCCAGAGCCTGTTAAACTTGAGCCAACCAACCCCGTGACGTCAACTGCACAATGGCGGCGCCCTGGCGGCGAAAGATACAAAGTTTTTTTTCTTTTTTTCTTCTAAATGTTTACATTTGTAATGTTTCTTATATAATTGTTGATTATATTGGAAATCCATCTTGTAAATCATGTAAACTTGATTCACCGCTTCATTTCCCCTTTAAGGAACTGTATAAGAAAAAATGTATATAGAATTGTTGGAGCCAAATCGGTGATGTAATTTTTCAGAGTGACATGAATGAGATTTAAGAGCCTGAAGGAATATTTTCATAGAATAACTGATTAAAAAAACACAAGTACACAGTCAAACAAAACAAATTTACACAGAAAAGTTCATAGTAATAAAGTACTTGTAGTGTGGTGCCGGTAACTTCCTCCTGTAATTCAATGTAGCCTCTGAAATGTTCAGATGATTTTAGAAATGCAGTGGTTCTTCTGAGGAAACAAAAGAACAAAGTTGATTAATTTATATCCATTCACAACATAATAATTATTGGCCAGTAAAGGGCTTTTAAAATGTTTTTGAAAGAATCAGGGGACCTGTAGTAGGGTAATAAACAAAAACAGACCAAACTAAAGCCTATCCACTTGTTATTCATAACGCAAATGACGACAGTCGACTGCAGGAATTAGCTATTAATACGTTATATCAGCAATTTGAAGATACAGTTGTACAGAATACATTTAAGTGAATGACTAAAACAATCTAAGACAATAAGTCAATGATTTTTATTAATTCTTTAACGTTAGATTAGTTAGCGTCGCGGCTCAAACCTTCATACCACATGCTGTAGGCTACTGTGCAATAAACGAGTGATAAACTCTGTAAAAACGCGTGTTTTAGTTTATATATGTATGTGTTTGAATATATAGTGAATAGACTCAGTATTTATATTACTTTGGCGAGTTTACAAACCTTGTAACGGAGAGCCGAACAAACAGCCGAAGCTTTGATGAGAGGAGCCGTTACTTTCAAATCCGACGACGATCAGCTGATCTGTGTTGCGCGCGAGCGAGCAGCGCGAGGTTCACTGAAGCGATAACAGCAGATGAATAGCAGCAGTTTCGTTACAGAATAAAACTGTTCTCTTCCTGCTTCTTCTTCTTCTTCTTCTTCTTCTTCTTCTTCTCATATTCATATGATCATATTATCATTATAATTATTATTAGACATACTTACTATTTTTTTGTCGTTGTTTAAGTTTTAAATGAATCAATAAAATAGGCCAATACTAATTGAATGTAAGTATACTAGCTGCATCAGAAATATAATTTTCGAAATATATATATATATATATATATATACAGTATATTAGGTATAACATACTTAAGTATAACAATAATAGGATAGTAATAGTATTATTTAATTATTTTAATAATAGTATTATATAATAGTATTATAATAAGATAATAATTGTATTCTGGACTCACAGAACAATTAGGTTCCTCCAGATGCTGACTTTAACATAAGAGATCTTCCAGGAACCATTTAAATGTTAAAAGATCTTACAATAACCCTTTTATAGCATTTAAGTTCCTCTAATTTCCCCCAAAGCACTTCGAGGCCTCATGGTAGTGAAAAGGTACCTCCAGAACCTCTGAAATTAATACAAAGTGCTTCAAGGATCCCATAAGTTCCAGCAAGAACCGCTAAGATTGTCAATGCTCCTCCAGTAACCCCAACTCTATGAGAAAGAGCTTTGAGGCACTTAAATTGTGTTTTTAGGTTCCTTGAGTATCCAACAGGATATTTGAGGCACCTTTAGTTTTTACAGTGTATAATAAAGAAATTAAGGACAGAAATGAACCTAATGCTGTTTTAGAGATTATGTGTGGAGCATACCAACAGAAAACACACAAAATTACCTCAAAGCTGTACACTAGCTTAATGTCCTGTCAGAAAAACACAACCCTGTATGTCAAAGAAAAGTGGGAAAGAGAAGCAGCTGTCAAGATCTCAAATGAGGAATGGTACAAAATCTGTGAGTTGTCACAGACATCCACAAATTCACAAAAATGGAGAGAATTCAATTGGAAAAATTTCATACGATTCTTTATCACGCCATCTATTAAAAGTAAACAATTGGCTACCCAGCAAGTGTGTTGGAGGCAATGTGGTTCTGTGGATGCTAATCACACACATGTTTTCTGGGACTGTCTTGAAATAAAACCTTTCTGGACTTCTGTCCATCTTACTCTCTGCAAAGTACTGAATTATTCTGTACCATTAACTTTTATAACAATGTATCTGGGCCTTTTGACCAATGTAAAGAAAGATGATCGATATTTGGTTAAGATATTATTGTCGGCAGGGAGGAAAGCGATAACAAGAAGCTGGCTCAAACCTGAGCCACCCAGCCATACTCAGTGGATGGACATTGTGCAGGATATATTTACCATGGAAAGACTGACTTTTATCCTTAGTGTCACGGGGCAGGTCAAGGAAGACGAGGATGAAGGTAGAATTAACAAGAATACTTTAATTGACGAATCTCAGGAACAGGCAGACAGGATGACAGCGTGTTAAACACAAACAATACCGGACAAGGGAGTGAAGACAGGCAGGAACTAAATACACAGTGACGGTGATTAACAAATGACAATCAGCTGTGCGGGAGGTGGTTAGTGTCCATGGGAACAGATGAGGGCGGAGAACTCAGACGAGGGGAACACGTGAAGAATCAAAACACAGACAGTCCAAGGGTGGTGACAGATCGCCCCCCTCCGGCAAGGCGCGACCTCGCGCCGTGGCAAAATGACGGAGGGGGAACCGGGGGAGGTTCAGGTGGAGGACGAGACGATGGTGAACCACAGACGAGAGGCTGGAGTGACGGGACGGTGAAGGGACGATGACGATTCCCTGGCGGCCTTGATGGGGATGGCGCGGTGGCGCAGACCCAGAGCCTCCCAGTACCGACAGCCGATGGCAGAGAAGACGGAGGGAAGAAACCAGATGGCGAGGGGACTGACGGTAGCTGGGGGATGACCGACGGAGACTCGGTGGCAGGATCTCTCGGCGCAGACGGAGAGCCGGTGGACTCAAGCGACGTCACCGGTATGGGAGACCCCGGTGACGTAGCGGCGACGAGCGCTGGGGCCGTAGCCAGAGTGCCCGAGAGCTGAGGTGGAGGTGGAGTGAGG